GCAGGATGCAAAACCAGTGTGCCGCAGGGATCCGCCTGGGAACCAGCGCGCCAACCCCTGGCACCTCTCAGGAAAGCGCCCGCGTCAGCCGATGCGGTGACGCAGGCCGCCTCAGACGGCGAAGGCGCCGAACTCGTCGCCGAAACCTTTAGCTCGCGCGATGGCAACTTCGAGGTCGACGTCGATCAGCTTCTGAAGGAGCACCAGCTGGATCCCGCGGCACGAACCTAAGATGCCACAGGACAGGCTTGCGCCCCTGGCGTACCGCTTTCAGATGCGCCTGACAAGCGCCAAACGCGCGGCCCGGCGGCCCCCCCTGCCATGAGGTGTCATCACACAAGGGTGCAGAGCAAAACCTAGCTCCAAAGGACGGGTGGTCTTCAATCATCGTCAATGCGGCGTTCCACTGGGCTACTGACACTTACCCAGACCCTGGTGGAACCGTCCGCCAGACACCGATGGACCTAGGGAGAGGGAGTGCGAGCCCACTCCTCTAGCCGTCGGGCTTCACGGCCCAAGTGATCAGCCCCTGAATTTGGCGGCCACCGCGGATGCTAGAGTCCAGCGTGCTATTGCTGGACTCCCGCGTGTTGGTCGTCTCCCCGCAGGTGCCCATGCTCGCGCCCGCTCGGGCAAGCCCCTCGTTGCTAGCATGGGCTCCGCCGGTGCCCACATCCAAGTCCCCGGCACGAGAGTGCCCAGCCTCTATGACAACCCGATGTTCGCCGCCGTTCGCCCCCAGGGGCAATCCCGGATCTCGCAGCGGGCCCTTGGCGCTCTCGCTGTCTCTGGGCATGCCCCGCGACTGGGTGACATTGCGCCAATGGAAGCGTTTCTCGCACTGTGGAGGCAGGTGCGCAGAGACACAAGTCTCAACGCTAAAGCCGAAGAGCTGCGAGCTGCGCGACCACGCGCAGACCTTCTATGGGGGTGGCCCTGTTGGCAGATTCTGACAACCAATCACTAAACTGGTAATTGGTCATCTTTTGGCATGGTGCGTGACGACAGGGATGCCCATCTTTCATGGCTGCACCTTCCGGTCGGCTTTTTCACTGGCGTGCTCCAAGTGTCGCAAAGAAGATCCTTCCTCCGACACTGCCCTCCCGCCAGACACGACCTGGGCGCGATCGCCGCGATCAAATAAGGCCTTCGATACTCTGCCAGCACCTGGTTGCAAAGAAACGCAAGGAAAACTAAATTCACTGCCTGGCAGCTCGACTCTCTACGCAGTTGCTGTTGCGACGGTGGCCGCTCCCAGAGGGAAATCCGCGCGGGCATCTCGGCCGACCCATCGCCGCCGGGCAGATGGTGCAACCCAGGAGACTAAGAGTAATATGAATAGTAATGATGAGAAGACGAAGAACAAGCTGGAACACACGGTCTGGAAATGCCCCTGCTGGGAGGGGGAATGGACCGCCTTGCAAACCATGATCACTGACTGGTCAGCACTGGAGGGACCTCCCGCCTCGCGCAAGGCATTGCGGGCTGCTCGAGGAAGACCCGCAGCTGCTGGGCCTTCAGGCCACCTAAGCACAGGACGTGCTCCCACAACCCACTCCGCGACCCCCTCGCGAGGGTTCCGCAACGGATTCGTTCGAGGAGTACACCGACGACGACGCGGGGGCCAGGTGGGTCTATGCAGCCACCGACGAAGCCTGCACGCAGCCAGCTCGCCCGCTCCTTGCTAGGGCTGGCTTCGGAATCCACGACGGGCCTGACCACTGGCTCAACCACCCGGCTCGGGTGCGCGGGTTGGCCCCAGTCCGCGCAACGAGCTGAGACCCTCGCGCTGCTCCGACTGGTGGCTACTGCGGAGCGGCCAGCCGTCGACGCATTCGAGGCCCTCACCGCGGGAGTGCTCGGGCCTATCCTGAGCAGCCCGAGGCGAAGATATCTTCTGCCCCGCCGCCTTCCTCTGCTTCGGGGCACAAGACCTGATATGGCTGCTGATGCCCGTTTCCCCCCCATCACCCCCCTTTCCGCCGAGCCCGACTTGGCGCGGCAGCGCTTTCGGCCCCAGCCCCGGCTGCGACGACGAGGGTCTGAAACAGCCACAAGCGCCAAGAGGGCCCCTCAAACAAACCTCCACAGTACCAAACCGGAGGCTCCTGGTATGACACTGTTTCGGGCCTTCTTGGAACCCACTTGGAACCCTCTCGGGGCCCTCTTGGGGGCCCCTTCGGAATCTCTTGAAGCCGTCAGCAACGCAGAGAAGCTGCAATGCAAACAACTCAGCACATCATGACGAACTGCAGTGCACGGACAAACTTTTTTCGCGTGGTCGTCGCCGAAATGTGCGCATCAACCCTCCATGCATAGGGAGGTTCATCCCTTGATGCTGTCGTCTTCCTCCTCAGGCCCTCCGCGAACCCGTAGGGCCGCTCGCGCCCCCTCGAAATGCCACTCGGATAGCGGCGATTCGAAGCCGAAGCAAAACACCAACGATTAGATATCAGAAACGCTATCGACACAGGAAGGCGCAATAATGCGCAAGCCAAGGCGACTGGAGGAGGATGAGGAGGAAGAAAAAAGAGAGAGAGAGAGAGAGAGAGAGAGAGAGAGAGAGAGAGAGAGAGAGAATGGATGAGGAGAGGAAGCGAAGGGGGAGAAGCACGAGGAGAAGCAAGGGGGAGAAGAAGGAGGGGAGAGGCGGAGAAGAAAGAAGAGGAGGAGGAGGAGGAGGGGGAGGAGGAAGGGGAGGAGGAGGAGTCAGGAGGAGGAGGAGGAAAAAGGAGAATGATGAGGAGGAGGCGGAAGCCCACCCCCCTGCCTCGCTCGCTCGTTTGCTCAAGCCCCAGCGGCCCCAGCTCAGCGGGCGTCGGGCGTACGCGCGTACGCCGCGCGAGGCGGCCAGGCGCGCGCGGGCGGGCCAGCCTAGGGCCCCTAGGGCGGCGCTGGCGGAAGTGCAGCGGCACAGTGGAGTGGGGGTGGGGGCAGCAGCGGAATCTCTCTCTCTCTCTCTCTCTCTCTCTCTCTCTCTCTCTCTCTCTCTCTCTCTCTCTCTCTCTCTTTCTCGCTCTCATTGTGTCCAGCTTAATTGTAAGGGGACAAACAGGAGGAGGAGGAAGGAAAGAGGAGGAGGAGGGGGGGGGAGGAGAAGGAGGAGAGGAGAAGGAGGAGGAGGAGGAGGAGGAGGAGGGGAGAGGAAGCAGCAGCAGCAGGAGGAAGAGGATGACTCCTCCTCCTCCTCCTCATCCTCCTCCTGCTCCTCCTCCTCCTCATCCTCCTCCTCCTGCTCCTTCTTCTCCTCCTCCTCTTCCTCATCCTCCTCCTCCTCCTGCTCCGTCTTCGCCTCCTCCCCGGGGCCCCTCCTCCCCCCGCCGCTTCGCCCGGCGGCGGCCGCGCTGGCCAGGCAGCCTAGCGCCTAGCGCAGGATGTGCTGGCACTGCTTCCTGTCCAGCTTGCGGGCCGAGGTCGAGGCCCCGAACCTCAGCTTGTCGAGCTCCTCTGGGGGATGTGATCGCGAGACTGACGGGGGCCGGGGGGGAAGAGGAGGAAGAGGAAGAGGAGGAAGGGGAGGAGGAGGAGGAGGAGGAGGAGGAGGGGGGGGGGGAGGAGGAGGAGGAGGAGGAGGAGGAGGAGGAGGAGGAGGAGGGAGGAGGGGGGGGAAGAGGAGGATCAGGAGGAGGAGGGGGAGGCGGAGGAGGAGGAGGCTGAGGAGGAGTAGAAGGATGAGGAGGAGGGGGCGGGAGGGGGTAGAACGTGGGGGGGCATCCTCCTCCTCCTCCGCCTCCTCCTCCTCGCCTCCCTCTTCCTCTCCTCCAGTCAGCCCTCAAGTGGTGGTGTCCTTCTTGTACGTGGCCATCATCTTCTTGGCGTTGCTGCAGTACTTCTCCACCTGCGTCGCCGGGCGTGACAGGATGATGTCGTCGGCGGTGAGGTTCTCTGGCACCACCGACAGGTAGTAAACAGTTGCTTCGATGTCGAGCGTGTCACCGCCCTTCTGGAACTGGAACTTCATGACAGCACGATTGACATCCATTGTCGGCTCATCACTGATCGGAATCAACCAAGCAGGACAGAACACTTCATTCATGTGGTTGTTGACCGCGCCACCGTCCACGTAGAACTTGAGACCTGCGACTTCGGCAATCGGCACGCTGCTGGCAGAGGGCGAAAGGGTCGCGCGCCCCCAGAAGTTGAAGAAAATCTGGCCAGGGAGCGCGCCGCCACGCTTCAGGAACTCAATGTCCTTCTTGGCGGCGTCGCGGTTGAAGAAGACGAACTGCGCGCCCGAATCTGCTCCAGGCTTGGGTTTCTCCTCGCGGAGAGTTGGCAACCATGCTATCATATCGTCCTCCTCCTCCTCCCCCTCCTCCTCCTCCTCCTCCTCCTCCTCTTCCTCCCCCCCTCTCCCCTCCTCCCCCTCCTCCTCCTCCTCCTCCTCCTCCTCTCCTCCTCCACCTCCTGCTCCTCCCCCTCCTCCTCTTCCTCCTCCTCCTCCTGCTCCTCCTCCCCCTCCTCTTCCTCCTCCTCCTCCCCCTCGTCCTCCCCCTCCTCCTCCTCCTCCCCCTCCTCCTCCTCCTCCTCCTCTCCTCCTCCTCCTCCACCTCCTCCTAGCTCGCATCTCGTTTGGGTCATCCACCTGTGGGCTCCTGCACGCAGCGCTTGATGAGGTGGCCCTCCAGCTCGGAGATGAACCTCATCGTGTCCGCCGGGGTGAACTGCACCTCCTCGTGGAGCGGCTTCGGATGGTACAACACCTTCTCGCGCCCGCCGCTGCTGTTGTCGTTGCCGTCGTCGCCCTCGCCCTCGTAGATCGCATCTGGGAGGATCTGCGGCCAGCCCGTCTGCTTGTGGCAATCCTGGATGTAAGCTCGGCGGTGATCACTCAGGCTGACTACGTTCTCATCGTCGGCGTCATCATCATCGCCAGCCTCAGCGTCAATCATGGCCTGGTCCTTCGGCGGGGCCCCAGCAGCTACGACCGCGACAATGGTGGACGCAGTCGGTGGAATCGTGGGGGGAGGAGAATCGGTCAACGCCAATGCCGATGGCACCTCGGCTGCCACAGAGGCCGCAGCGAGCTCGTCCGTGATCGTCTTCACCGCGGACGCCCAGGCGGCCTCCGCTTTCTCAGCGCTCTTGTCAGTGAACACCGCCAAAGAGATCTCCCGGGACGCGTCCTTCGCCGTCTTGAGCAGATGAGCCCAAATGTCAACCCACTTCGCACCAGTCACCTGGCAGTCCAGAGTGGCCAAGTCATTCAAGGCACCAGGGCTGCCGCTGATCCAGGACATCGCCTGCCTGCTGTGCGCGTCGCCGAAGGACTCTGCGTCTCCGTAGGTCTTGCTCAAGATAGCGACCGCGTACTCGGCGCGCAGTTTCAAGAAAGGCTCAACCTTCTCACCCTCCCCAAAGATATCCTTCATGGCGCCAGGGAACTGCTTCATGCTCTTCCAGAGCGTCGCACCTGACTGAAAACAAAGAAGAGTGCCTTCCTCCTCCTCCTCCTCCTCCTCCTCCTCCTCCTCCCCCTCCTCCTCCTCCTCATCCTCCTCCTCCTCCGCCTCCACCTCCGCCTCCGCCTCCGCCTCCGCCTCCCCCCCCCTCCTCCCCCCCCTCCTCCTCCTCCTCCTCCTCCTCCTCCTCCTCCTCTGCCTCCCCCTCCTCCTCCCTGTCCCACCTGGTCACCTCCTCCCTCCTGTTCCTGATAGAGCGGGCGGGGATGCAGATTTGGCAAGAAGCCACCTTGCATGACAATATCGATCCACTTGCGCGGGATGTCCTCGTCCAGCTTCTCGATGATGGAAGTGAGGATCACCTTGGCAAACTGATCGACGTTCTGCGCATTGCTCAACTTCTTGCCGAGCTGCTCCGCCAAGTGGGCCTGGAAGATGTCGTCGGACGCGATGGCAACGATTCTGTGGAACTTCGCCGGGACGTTCGACTGCTGTTGCTCAAGGAACTTCTTGATGCCATCCTTGACCTGGGGCTGCGCTGACACCTGGTCGTCGAACGACTGCAGCTTCGCCATGCGCGCCCCCTCGCTCGCCTCTGCCCCTGGAGCTGAAGAGCTCGCTCCGCTTGGACTTGGAGAGCCATGCTGCCCAAGCACGGTGGCGAACATGCTGGCGATGGCAGGCGAGCTGCCCTCAGGGCGAGACTTCCTCAGAGCCGCCTGAAGTTGTGGTCGAAGCTTGCTCCATGCTGCGTACGACCCGCCAGAGATGTCCAGCGACCCGCTGAATGCAAACTGGAGTGCGAGAGAGACCATCGCCTTCTTGTCCTCGTCTTTGATGAGCGCGACCATGCCGCGCGAAGCAAACTCCATCGCAATGAAGACGTCGTCCAAGAACAAGGTCGGGGTCCCGTCAGCCCTGTCCGCCGGGAAGACCTCATCGGGGCAGTCCTCGAGCTTCTTCTTGCCACCAGGCCGCCCCCAAGCCTTGGGCTTGGCCGTCGCGGCCACCACCGCTGCGCCGGTGGCGGACTCCGACGCAGCAGACTGGGCAGCCGTCTCCGCATCCGCCGCCCTCTTCGCCGCCTTCAGCGTCGCCACGGGGTTCGTCGTAGCGAGGGCTGCCTGGATCTTCTTTTCCATCTCCTGTTTCTGCGACGCAGCTTTCGACGCAGCCTTTGCTTTTGGTTTGGCCTTGCTCTTGCCAGCGGCGCCCTTGGCCTTGGCTTTCTTGGGCGCAGGGGCGTCGTGGCCATCAGCGTCGCCAGCATCGTCCCCCTCAGCATCCTCGGCCTTGCGCTTCGCCGACTTCTTGTACAAGAGGCTCAGTTTCATTGGCGCCAACAGGTTGTTGATCTTGCTGCCGAGCTTGGCCTGGGTCTCCGAAGAGCAGTTCAGCTCCAGAGGTGCGACATAGCCGACGTCGTCAGCTTTATCCAGGGGAACTGTGAACTCCAGCGCGCACATCATAGCGAGACTGACATACTCTGCGGTCAAGCTGTTCTCGAAGTTCAGAGTGATGGTGCTGTACACCGTGTGGAACAACCATATCAGGTCGGACAATTTCATGTTCACCTGACTGCGCGCTCCTCCTCATCCTCCATCTCCCCCCACTCCTGCACCCTCCCTCCTCGTCTCCTCGTCCTCCTCGTCTTTCACTCTTTCACCTGAGGCCCTAGGACTCCTCCCCATCTGCACATTCCTTCTCCTCCCTCCCTCGCCTCCTCCTCCTCCTCCTCCTTCCGCCCCTCCCTCTTGCTGCCCTCGCATTCGGTTTCGTCGTCTTCGACGCCCTCAATGTTGCACCCCCCCGCCCAATGAAAGTTGACCCCGGGTCACCATCAAGGTAAAATCGCAACTGTTGCCCAGCATCTCTGTGAAGTGCTCGAGGCACCCGATCCGTTTGATCCCCCACTTGAAAGCGCGCATCCTCTCGTACGTGTCCCAAAAATCCCACTTGCCGGGGAACTCCTTTTTGATGAACCTCCAGTGCTGCTTGTCAAACGTGTTCTCCCCAGTCTTGTCGCATGAGGCGCGGGTGATCTTGGGGATCTGCTCGTCGCACCAACGGGGCAAGGGGGGGGAGGGAACGTCTGCAGCCTCCTTCCTCCTTCCTCCTCCTTCCTTCCTCCCCCTCCTCCTTCGTCTTCCCCCCCTCCCCCCCCCGAGCTTTCAAAAGTTTTTGGGCGTGAGAAGGCGGTTTGATACGGCGCACCATTGCTCCCAGAGTTCTTCGGCATCGTCCAGCGTGTCCATGAGCTCCAAGACCGAGATGCCGACTCCGCCGTGGAAACGGTTGTGAAGGTCCCTGTAAAACTTCAAGGCGTCCTTCGGGGTCCTGCTGTCCAAAATGATGGCGCCGCGGATGCCGCCGCGCACGGAGGCGACCACGAACGGGTTGCCGGGCTCCTTCCTCTGGGCTGCGTACACGCTCTGGCTCAGCGTGTTGTAGCCCACCATGAGGTAGGGCGTGTGATTCCCAGTGACCGAAGCCCTGCGAGCCTCGTCGACGATGGCGACTGGGGCGCTGCGAACATCAGGGATTAAGCCCTCGGTAGTAATGGACTTCAAGTACTTGCGGCTGACCGCATTTTGAAACCTGGCAGGCAATTGGGCCAGGAGAGTGCGAGAGCACGAGTGAGGAAGGAGGATTGTGCAAAGTGAGGAGTGAGTGAGGGAGGAGTGAGCACTAGTGAGGAGTGAGGGGGGAGTGAGGACGAGTGAGGAGCACGATTTCCCCCCTCCCTCTCTGCCTCTCCTCCTCATCCTGATCCTCCTGCTCCGCCGAGGGGGCGCTGCGACTTGAGTGACTTGCTGCGCGAGGCCGGCGCGATCGCTGCTGCTGCCACGAGGCGCCAGGAGGGTGGGCGCGAGCAAGGGTGCGAGGTGAAGGAGGTGAATGAATGACTGAGGTAGGAGATGAGGAGAGGTGTGCAACTGAGAGAGATTTCCAATATCCCCCCTGCACCGGTTGTTGTTCTCGTGGGGCCTCAACAATTCGGCCCCGGCGTCGTCGCAGAAATGAAGCTGCGTGTTGCGAGCGACGATGTAGTCCACCTCGAACTGGTCCACAAGAAGCCTCCCACTTAAAGTGGGATGGCGCCTCTCGTACGTCGGGAATTCGACAAAGCGCGTGGCCGATTGCTGAGCAGCCATCCTGTCGGCGAGAACCCGATCAGACAGATTCTAATTCTCGGACACCTGGAGAGGTTCGAAGGTTGAAAGGTCGAGGGCCGAAACCCTTGGGCCTGGAGCTGCGGGCCGAGGGCGGTCGCCCGGAGAAGGAGAAGGAGAAGGAGAAGGGGGTGGGTTGGGCCCCGGGGCCGCCGCGCCTTTCCAAATCAAGCACCTGATGTTCCTGTAGATCTCGTCTGGCTTCGAGGGAAATCGGGAAGGAGAAGGGAGATAGAGGATTGTGGGATGCGAGTAAGTAAGGATGAGTAAGAAAGGCCTCCTCCTCCTCCTCCTCCTCCTCATCCTCCTCCTCCCCCTCCTCGCCCACCCCCCCCCGCGCCTCATCCCTCCTCCTCCCCCTCCTCCTCCTCCTCAAGTCCTCAAGGGCTCAAGGGCGGGGGGCCCCTGCGCACCCAGGCCAGACGACGCAAGAAACGCGCGAGGGGTGCGCCCGACAGGCCCATGGGCACCTTCCACATCTGTGCGCGTTTTGATCTGACCCTGGAGGCGACTCCCACTCGCTCCCTTGTCTACAACTACAACTCTATCAGACAGACCTCTGGGGCCTCAACGTCCTCGGCGCCTTAAACGGGGACGAGGTATCGCTGGCAGAAGAGTCCGACAGCCTCTTCTGCAGGCCTACCACCCTGCTGATGAACGAACTGCAAGCCATCGCGCCCTGGATGTCCTCTGGGGCCCGCGTGGCAGCGCGGCAGAACAAGAACGAATATAAGATTGCCAGCCCTATCACGTGCACGTGCATGGCGTTGCCCCCCTGCTCAGTCATCGCGTGCCGGGAACGACCCATGTTGACATCCCAGCTCGTCCTCTCCCCGAAGATCTTCGCGCACTCGAGCGTGGGGTACCCCTGCAGCATCAGGAGCTCTCGCGGCGTGAAGGCGCGATGGTGTTTACCAGGCCATAGCATGAAACACTTCCTAGTGATGGTCCCCATAAAGATGTGAGAGTTCGAATGCACTGGCATCTTGAACGGGTCGTTGTTCAAACTATAGCAAAAGCAAGGGAAGTTCTTGCGGTATTCGTCAAGCCATCCTTTTTCCGTGTCGGTCAAGCAATCCTCCAACGAGTGCGTGGTGGGGTCGACCGTCAACCCATTCATCCTGCTGGAAGGTCTCTGAGCCGCCCACACTATCTCGTCGACAACGTCTGGGGAGTCTCGGGGCAACACCATGAAGTGTGCAAACGTAATGTGACACAGCCGAAATACTTTCTCGATGAGGGACCTGCTCCATTTGACGAGGGGCACGCCAACCTCGCAGAGAAAACGCAATGAGGTTGCGATCACAGAAGGGGGCAAGGCTTTGGGGCCCGAGGAAAGACGGGTGCAACACAACCTGGGCAGCACGGCCAACTTGGGCCTGACATCAAAAGAGCTGGAAACGTCCCACGGCTGTTTCTGAATTTACAAGGCGTTGTTTCGAACGTTCCGAACGTCCCCCTGGAACCTAAGGAGTACCAAAGGTGTTAGAGTTGTTTGTCCCCCCCAGAACCTTAGACGTATGAATCAAGATTGAGATCCTCCGCGGCCTGCGAACTGGCCAGCCCAGCTCGTCGGGGCCAACGATGATGGATTCGACCTTGTACATTGGTAGGATGGTAGAGAACACTTCAGCTGGAAAAGTTCCCACATTCTCATGTATGATAATGGGTTCCTGAAGCCGCCGGCGCTGTCCTGCCCATGACAGAAATGATAGGCAAGATTTGCCTGAGACGCCCCCTCGCTTAGCACCTGGCATTTCTGAATGATCTATGCAAGGGGTACCTGCGATGTGTGCGAAACAACATGGCGTGACACACGTCTGCCCTGGATGGTTGACGCACTCAGCTGAAACCATGATTGCGTTCTCCTGGTCACAGACAACACTAGCCAAGTCGTCCCACGTCATCAAACGCTCGGCAATCGACGCAACGAGGGCCTCGCGGATAGCGGGATTCAGAAACGCATTCATGTCTTTGAATATGCAACGTGGTGGATGTGGCAACGATTGCAATTCCTTCCGGGATGACTCTAAACATTCAATTGCATACTCGCACGTCATCGAAGGAAACGTTCCATTAGGAAATTCAGATTGCAGGTGCGCCCGAATGATCTCACACGCAGTCTCTGGAGTTCCGATGCCGCTAAAAGCTGTACTGATAGATTCAGATGAAAAGGCGTTGGATACTGCGCCCACATTGCAACCAGGAAATACTGACCACTTTTGCAAAACATATTTGACCCAATTGAAAGCGTCCGCCAAACTGTTCACTTCTGCAATCTTCTTCGACTTCTTCTCAGGTGTAACCATCAACTCGATCGTGCACGGATCACTGAGCGAAGCGACTCACAATATCATACTCTTGAGCCAGCATATCCTTACGGAGTATGGTCTCATATATCGTAGGGTGGAGGATTGCGCATGAACCTATGACGTATGGCTGAGAAACCGTCGGCCCTATGGGACAGGACGGAGTAAGACATCTGCCCTACGTCATAGGACCGACCAACCCTCTGGCCCTACGAGATAGGACATGTCAAGGCGCTGGCCCTACGGCGTAGGGCCAATACCCCCATGGACCTAGGAGATGGGGCCGATCAAGGCTATGGTCCTATGTCATAGGGCCAACACCCCCCTGGTCCTAGGAGATAGGACCGATCAATGCGACGGCCCTACGTCATAGGGCAACCACCCTACTGGACCCAGGAGATAGGACCGATCAAGGGCCTGGTCCTACGTCATAGGGCCAGTACCCCCATGGACCTAGGAGATGGGGCCGATCAAGGCGATGGCCCTATGTCATAGGGCCAACACCCTTCTGGGCCTAGGATATAGGACCAACTAGTGATTTGGTCCTACGTCGTAGGGCAGACACCCCCTATGGACCTAGGAGATAGGACCAGCCGCATTTCTGGCCCTACGTCATAGGGCCAACACCCCCCCCTGGACCTATGATATAGGACAGATCACGATCATGGCCCTACGTCATAGGGCCAGCCCCCATGGACCGAGGAGATGGGGCCGCCCACGGGTCTGGCCCTACATCATAGGATCACCACCCACTGGACCTATGAGATAGGATCGGCACAGACCCCGGCCCTACGTCATAGGGGTACCAACCCCTGGACCTAGGAGATGGGGCCTACCACGGCCATGATCATACGTCATGGAGCAAACACCCTCATGGACCTAGGAGATAGGACCGACACAGGCCCCGGCCCTATGTCATAGGGCCATCACGCCCTGGATATAGGGTATAGGACATACCACGGCAATGGTCCTACATTATAGGACCAACATCCCACTGGGCCTAGGATGTAGGACCAACCAATGCTATGGTCCTACGTCATAGGGCCAACACATCCTGGTCCCAGGAGATAGGGCCGATGAAGGCTATGGCCCTACGTCATATGGCCGATCGCATTCCTGGACCTAGGAGATAAGACCAGTACAGTATACGACCCTACGTCACATGGACAACACCCCATCTGGACTTAGGAGATAGGACCGATCAACTGACGTGGCCCTACGTCATAGGGCCAACGCCCCCATAGACCTAAGATATATGACTGACCAAGGATCTGCCCCTACGTTATAGGGCCACCACTCTCTCTGGACCTAGGAGATAGGGCCGATGCATGCTCCGGCCCTACATCGCACGGTCAACGCCCTTCTGGACATAGGAGATATGACTGATAGAGCATCGCCATGAACATATCCCTCCTCGCCCTCATGATCCTCATGCTCTGTCTTCCCAAAACAAATATCGTAAGCAAACGCCGACACTATTCCCTAGCAGCCTAGCCTTTATGTTTGCCCAAACCAATAGAAAGCGGGGTCAACGGAGTGCCCGAGTTTTCGCCATGACGCCTCCCAGAAATAGCCGAGGCAGAAAGTTGGGAACTCCATTGCTCCCACATTTCATTTCATTGGTTTTGTGAAGACCCAAGGCTCGTGGAGAAGACCCATCATCCTCACCATTCCCCTTATATCCTCCCTATCAGCATTCCCATCGCCCCCTCCTCCCTCGCCCTCTTCACCCTCGTGGGTGGCGGGGAGAGCGTCGGCACGATGTGCGACCACTGCCTCTGCGCCGAAGCGTCTCTGCCGGCCGGGGGGGGACAGGGCGGTCAACGAGAAGTAGAGGACAGGGCGCAAGTGAAGACTGAATATGGATGGGGTAAAGAATAAGCGTGTGTTGTGTGTTGTTTCTTTTCATCCTCCTCGCCTTCCTCCTGTTGTGTGGTTTGCGTTGCTCCTCCTCCTCCTCCTCCTCCTCCTCATCCTCATCCTCATCCTCATCCACCTCGTCCTCCTCCGCCTCCCCCTCCTCCCCCCCCTCCACCCCTCTTCCTGGCAGCCGGCGGCCGTGGCGGACCTCCCGGGTCCACGTCCTTCGTGCCGCCTCGGGCGACCCCCGTGTTGGAGTTGGCCCGAGGGAACTAGCTCTCGCAACTCTGTACAGTGCGCGGGAAGGCAACGGCCGCCATCGGATCGCCCGCCAGGGGTTGTCGTCGTCGTCCTGACCACTCATCCTCTCTCACACTCATCGTCAGTGCCCAAGTTGCCTTGCTCAGCCTATCAATGGCGGACAAATCCGATCATGCGCAGCCAATTAGAGCAGAGAGGGCAGGCGTTATCCAGCACGACGTCGTACTCTGCCCTCTTCAAAAGATTTCGCACTGCCGCCTGAAGGGGCCCGCTGCCACCGTTCTCAAGAACAGCTGGCCCAGAAGAACCAAAGGAAGCAGAGTTGGCAACGCCCCGCCCACAGTGGTCATGCACGACAATCCCACACAGGGAACACTGGCGCGCATGGTGGTCTGTACACACCACGCATATACACTCATCCTCGCCTGCGAGCTCAGGGCACAAAGCTCGCTGAAATATCCGAAACATCCCAAGCGGGTGCGGGGGGATCTCAGCCCTCTCCTCCTGACGCGAAGTCTTATTCATTTTCTCTCCTATGTCTGGATACACAAA